CACCCCCACCCCCGCGCACGCCGACGCCCGCGCGCCGCGCACCCTGCAGTTCCTGCCGCAGCGACTCGTGGCGCTGCTGTCGCAGGTGAGTCTCCACGCCTGTGGACTGCGATGCACGGCGTTAGATGTAGTGACCTCGATGGAATTCGCCATGAGTGGTATACTCATTGGCGCAACCAAAAACTGGGGCGTTCAACTATCCCACTAGCCAATGAAACAAATTCACCTATATAATTTTTTTTTATAATTTTCTTTAGTAACGATGAAAGTCATTCAATATCTAAATTTTAAAAAAAAATATTTGAAACATAAGTAAAATTTTCTTCACAAAATAGACCAGGAGGGGAGGCTCAGGGTATCAACTGATGTCACTGCAGTGCCTCTGATTCAGAGGTTATAGGTTCGAGTCCCTACGGTGGCAGGATTTTCGACACTAGATCCACAGCGACGTCGAGTTCAGTTGTTGTCTGGAGGAGAATTCTAGCGGCCGACTACTTTGATCGGTAGTTTTGCGTAATTTTTCCGATTAATACCAGGCGAATGCCGGAACAGTACCCTGACATACGAGCCACAGACCGCGCGCGATCTTTCTTTCCCCTTCCGTGTCCTATCTTTACCCCTTAGAGTTACATGCACGTTTACAGTTATATGCACTACAATACTACATTTGCCGGGAGACCGGTCGGGAGCTTGTCCCGGCTGGGGCGATATGGTGCCTCTCTAGCGGGAGACACATGTTTGGGGGAAAACTCGCTACAAAAACAGTAGGACTGCGCCGGATCTTAGCATCCTGCGAGGGAAGATCACCGCCACCTCCCGGGGGAAACATACACTACACTAACAGGACTAATGATGTTAGCAGTTCGCGCATCCAGTATTTCGAATCAATCAGTAATATTCATAAGAAAGCATGGAGTCTACCCAACACTACACCTTTAATTTTAACCCCCATAAAAAGTCGTGGTTGCGCTAATGTACAACCTCCGTATGTTTCTGCTGCTAAGTTTTTCAAGTGCGAGGAAAAACATATTTCATCACATTTTTATTTATTTGAATCTAACTTCAAAATCCTTAAATTATAGTGTCTAGATAGTAAAAAAATGATAAATGAGGCTGTTTCTTTCCTTTGCTCTCACTCTCGTTAGGGTAGAACACTAACAAGGTTCTTCAAGGCCTACCTTTTCATCTCTGAGATACACCTTACATGCCTGGTGCAATCTTGAAGTTAGAATAAAAACATGCATTTTCGATTAGTGTCGGTCCTCCGTGAGAAGGGCCGTGAGTACCAGCGTGCGTCTGTCTGTCCGCAGGCGGAGCGCTTCGCTCGCAGGGCGCTGGGCGGCGAGGTGGCGGAGGTGGAGGGCGACGGCAAGGGCAAGGACAAGGACGGGGACGATGCGGCGGGGCCGCGGCGCTCCAAGGCGCTGGCCACTGCGGCGCCGCCTCCGCTGCCGCCCGCGGTGGCCCTGGACGCCCGCGGCGGAGGGGGC